ACGTGAGTATGGGAAGTAAGGGAGCTCTGCGTGCTTGTGTCTGGCCAGCCACAGACTCAGCCAGCTGTCATTTTGGAAGCTTTTTTAAATCTTGGATGGAAGTACACAAGTTTTTAAATGGAAAAATTAATATTTTCAGAATGAATAAATGGAAGATGTCAAAATAATGAGCTGGCAGGATGTCTCAGTATTAGGCTGCATCCACCCAGTCATGAAGGCAAAATGACCAAGAGACACCAAACAAGGGGAGTGCTTTGGGCTGGTGTCCTCCTGCAAATATAGTTCTGGAAATAGCTTCAAAAACACAGGATTGTAAAAGTTTGAACTTCAGTTGTCAGAAGCTGGTGTGAAAAAGCAGGGTGAGAGCACAGAGACTCAGTGACTGGGTCTCACTGGGTTGCAGCCCTCGTCTGTGGTCTCTGAGCATCATCCCTCAGCTCCAACATGACCCATCAGAGGAGGGAAGTTGCCACCAGGCTCCTTGCTGCCATGCAGAAAGGAGGGTATCACAGCTGCTTGACCTGTCATCAGCTGTGGTGAGAGATCTGGAGTTTCTGCAGAGCTGCTTTTGGGATGTCCTGCCTTGGGACTTGCCAACATCCCCACCTCTCCTGCAGCTCAGAGCTTTCCAAGGCAGCTCCTGAAGTTAGGGTGATTATCAGCTGATCTCAGGGTCAGGAAGGTGGGACACCTTTGCAAGAGGTGGGGGACCCTTGCAAGAGGAGGAGGAGGAGGACTGGCAGCCTGCCTGGCTTCTGTCATGACTTCACTTCTTTTGAGTAAAAATTTTCTTCCAGAAAATGTCAGTGTCATAAAAATTCAGTGCTAGAGCTGGAGAAGATGGTAGCAATGAAAGCTGATGCATCTGATCAGCTTCCCTGTTAGACTGGGAGCTGCTCCAGCCACACTGGAACTGCTGGCAGTCTTGGGAAGAAGACCATGTTTCTCAGACCTGCCAATAGAGTGTTGTGCAACTTATTCCCTCCAGTGAAAATTTAAATTCTACAGAAATGAATTGCCTAGAGGTTTTTCATCTCCAAGGGAGCTCCTCCTTGCTTTAGGGTTGTTTTATTTTTCCATGCTTGATTAAGAACATCAATGGTAGAGGTATGTAACTGTTGAAAACAGAAGGGTGTGCCATGTGGGTTTGGCTTTACAGGCAGGATCTGGGAAATCTTCCTCCTGCTGTGGATGCTGAAGGTGATGCAATTCTTCCTCAGAGTGTGCCAGCCAGTTTGGCAAAAACTGGAGACTTTGTGTCTTTGATTTCAAGTTAAAATAACCATCAGGTGGAGTTGTGTGAAGGGGACTGGGGATCCCAGGCTGGAGGGAGAAGGCTGCCCTTAGGGACTTGTGATATTGTGGGAACTCCAGCTAGGGCAAGAGGCCCAAAGAGGACCTCACCTCTCTTCTCACTTATGTTGAAGCTCCAAGATCTGATGGTGCTCATGCTCAGAGTGCTGTGCTGCTGGTCGTGGTTGGAGGAGTTGGAGATTTGGGGTATTTGGGGATGGGATGCAAGCAAGACACCATGGAAAATAAACTGAATGGGTAGAAGGAAGCCCTAAGGAGATGTTTGCTAGGTTTCTACAACAGATTTGCCCCTTGTCAGCATTACCAGAATTGACAGGGATCAGTGGAGGGCTTTCTACAAAGAAAAGGCATCTGGTCAGGTTGACTTACTTGGGTCACTGTGATCTCTATCATAATTGTTCCCTATGTGATTATTTTGAGGGTTGAGCAATGGAGAGCTGCAGAAGGGACGTGCAGCTTGCTTTCTGCCATGTGTGACATGTTCTGTGTTCGTTTCAAGCACGTTCATGGCTCTTTCTGTCTAAAAAAATAAAACAGAATTCCGGAAGACTGCAGGAATTTCAGTGAAGTCGGACTTGAAATGCTCACCTTCCCTTTTTTTATCGCCCTTATCAGCCCATAGAGCTCAGTGTGTGAGGTTTTTAGCTGACATTTTGAATCGCTCTGAGTGTGCCTGCATCCCTTTTGAAAGCAGCTTTCCCTCCCAGATCAGAAGTGACCAGGTTTTTTTGTTAGACTCCATGTTCCTTTAATGTTTTCCTCCTAATAGATGTTGAAAGCGTTCTTCAGAGGCACGGCACAAAACATTCAAATAGTGATACGAGCCAGCTGAAGAGAGTTGTCAGGGAGAGGGAACATTAGGAGAAGGATTGAATACAGATGGATTCCTCAAAAGTAATGTAACCTGTTATGATTGCTTTGAAATCCTATACCCTTTCCATCTACTTATGCTTACCGAAAGTTTACATTTGCATTGATGTATTGGAGGCAGAGCTAAAATGGAAGTAATCCCTGCTGTATACATGCTTAAGTGTGTAACTTAAGCTAAATACAGCAGTTGTGACCAAACTCTTGCCTACATCCTCAGTGGGGATCCCACAGCCCTGCAGGAGAGCCCGTCCATCCCAACTCCTCTGGAGGGGCCACCCCACACCCATCTGCTTGCTCTTGCTTCCTTCAGCCACCTCAGATCCATACTCAACAAACTCTTCAGAACTCTTGCTGCTGCTGTCTCTTTGTACCAGCAGATGCAAAGGAGAGAAACTGATTGAAATGTGCATTTTAAGCTATCATAGTGCTTTCTTAATATACTGCTAGAATAATCCATGTCTCACCCAGACAATCCTGGCAGATCCACTACAACTTGATGCTAGATTTTAATTGGGACATCCAAAAAACATCCTTCTCTTTGCCTGCAGGGAAGGCTTGAGCCATCCATCATTCCTGCCTCAATTTAAGAGGTTGTATCAGCCTCCATCATGCAGCTGTCATATCAGGTGTGACAGGAGGGTTGCACTGCACAGGGCTCCTTTGGTGTTCAGAACTGACCATTATGCTGTTGGACAACTGGTGAAGGAGGCCTGGTGAGGTTTGCACTTACCATACCTTGCTTTTTAAGGTGAACTTGTTCAAATCATTTCCAGCCTTAAGTATTTGCCCTGGAAAGCTGTTCTGAAGTCTGATGGAATATAGAAATCAAGTTGCTCCAGTGCACATTTACAGTGACAGTCAGGAGGTTTGTGTGCTAGATGATGTCTGTGGTGTCTCACCATCCCAAGGTGCCCATAAGTGCTCGTACCCAGCCAGCTCTGTACTGTAGCTGAGTGTGGAGAAACCTCAGTAGGCTCCCTCTGCCTCAAACAGTCGTGAAAACCCTTAGCTGGCACCATTTTGGGTGCTCTTTGCACCACTCTGCAACTACACTGAACTTCCTCCTTCAAGGAGAAACAGCTTGGAGCTTGTGTGGGCTTGTGACAAGCAACGTAGCCCTCTCAAATTCAGGTTTTAAAATGTTTTGGTAACACTGCTGTCCTTGTGCACTGAGTACCACATTACACATCAGTCATTCTGAAGACCTCTGCCTTCATTGGATTGGCTGCTAGTCCCAGTTCACACAGTGGCTGTCCCATGTTTCTGCAAATATGCAGAAACCTCCAACTTTTGCCTTTGCTGGTGTCTTCCTTGCCTCCAGTCCTTCCATCTGTGCATTTCTGATGGGTTTCTTTGTCTTATCTAAATGTAAACTCATCAGGGCAGGCACTGTTTTCTGATGTCTGTAGGACTTTGTCCACTGCAGTACAAGCAGAAAAGCTTTTCACAGCAGAACAGGGAAGCACAATTTGCATGCTCTGTCTTCCTTGGAGGTGTTTGCTCAAGGTCCATTACAAACCACATCAACCAGGTGCCAGTTACTGAGTTACTAAGTAAAAGATCATGCTGATGAGCTTTGTGATCTGAATTAAAACAGGGCTCTGATTTTTCAGTTTGGAGAACCCAGGAATTCATCAACTTCAAATGCTGCTCTTCTTACAGAGGGGTGGTGGAGGATGAAATGATGCTGTGTTGCTGTGCGGGTGTGAACCTTTCAGCTCAGTCCTCCTCCTGGCAAATTACAGAATGACAAGAAGATGCCTGCATGGCCACGCTGTCCTGTGGAGCAGCAGAGCCAGAGGCAGGTTGGCAGCAGTAGCTGCTCTGTGCCCCTGGCAGTGTCAGTGTGAAGGAGCTCTTGCCTGCTTGTCTCATGGGCTGCTCTGCCATTAATGCAGGTCTCCTCCTGTGCAAGGAACTGACTTCCCAGCTGGCTCCTGCAGGCAGTCTCTCTTCTCTCCCCTCTACCATTTTGTGGAAGAGAAGAGAAGGAGGCTGGCCTGCTCCATGTGGACTTGCATAACCAGTCTGCAGGACAAGGCGTGTGGTTGTGTGCAGACTGGCCTCCGTAGATGCTGAACAGATTGTCTATTGGAAAAGCCAGTGGGATTAGATGGTCCTTCCTGGTGGGATTTGCAAGTGTTTGATGTACCGAGTGTGACATTTGAGGTCGGCTTTAGGTGCTGCCTTGTAAGCAACAGCCATTTCTTGCTTGACCTCCCTCCCTTGGCAAACATGTTGGAGTAGAGAGGGATGTAAAAGCAAGCACAGAATGGTGAGCCGTGCTACACATCCCTCACCACTGGAAGAGCAGAAGCCTGTTTTGACCATGGAAAAATACTGTCTTAACTATCTGGATATTGCTTGTAGATGTCCTGCCTTGCTTATAGAATCATAGAATGGTGAAGGTTGGAAGGGACCTTAAAGATTATGAGGCTCCAACCTCCCTGCTGTGAGCAGGGACACATCCCACTAGACCAGGCTGCACAAGCGTCATCCAGCCTGCCCTTGAATGATAATGCTAAGCAGCTAGCCATTGGACACCATTCATCCTAATGGGAACTGGGCTTCTTCCATATAGTCTTGTTCCCTGCCTTCTTCATCTCTGACAGTATCATCTTCATCACTCCATTAATTCCCATCTGTTTCCTTTTCGCTTCAAATTGTTCAGGTTCTATCAGTGCAACTTAATACGAACACAGGTTCTTTTGTAGCCTGTCACCAGTGCTGGGGCTTCGGGCAGAGTCCTCCTGCCCAGTGATGCAGGGAGTGGTCAAGGTTGTATCCCCCTAATTTGCCTCTCATTTTTCTTGCAGGCATGGGCCGTGGAGAGAGCCTGTTAACCCTTACTATGTCAACACGGGCTACGCTTTGGCACCAGCCACCAGTGCCAACGACAGCGAGCAGCAGAGCATGTCCAGTGATGCTGACACCATGTCACTGACTGACAGCAGCGTGTAAGTAACCCCAGCCTGCTGGGACAACCAGTGGGACAACACTGTGTTTGGTCTTTAGTGCTGGTGCTGATGTTGTGTTCGTCCTGGGGGCTTCGCCGCAGGTGGTATTGGGGGAGTATCTCACTAGACCAAGGTCGTGTTCATTCTCACTTTCTGTTCAAGCAGGGTTGTTTAGTCATTGTGCACACTGCTCAGCCTTGCTGGTCTTGGAGACATTTGCAACTTCAAATGGTTTGAGTGAGCTAAAATAAATGGCAGTCAGAGTTCCTGCAATGTTTCTTGCCAAGTGCAAGAAACATTGGAAAGGTCGGATGGCTTTGTAGTGATTTGAGATACAGTATCTTCTGAAGGTCAGACAGAGCTTTCTCCTTACCTGGGTATTTCTCTTTTTTGCTGACAGTGCATAGTGTGTGATTGCTCTTCAGTAGAAGAAGGTGTAGTTTATGTCTGGTGACCTCTGCACTTTAACACAACTAGTACCAATAAGCACACACCTCCCTCCTCAAATCTTTCTTCCTTTTTCCTATTTCCTACCTTCTTGACAGCACCCTGTTTCTCACTCATCAAATACCTTCCCTAAAGATGGTCTGCAAAGGAGGATAAAAAGGGGTACAAGATTTTGTTGTGACTGCATCTCTGTAATAAAAAATAATAATAATAAAAAAATATTTTAAAAAAGGATTTGGGCAAAAATATTCAATGTTTGGGGTTTTTTTTAGTAGTGCAAATGTGAAGTGTCTTTCTGTAGAGCAGAAACCCTTTGATTTTTCAAGTGACAGATGACTGGTTTACAGAATTAGGAGAGGGTTTTATTAACAGCAGTGCTGTAAACACAAAGTCCTTGAAGAGTCATTTAGTGTCACTGTGAATGTCAGGAGCTGTCAGACCTTGTTGGAGAGAGTTCCAGCCTGTGTCATGGATGTTGTTAATGGGTGCTGCAACAGTTCCCCACCTCCCATCAGTTCACACTGTGAAGGTGCTGGTGAGCTGGTGAAGGTGCTGTGTGATTAGGGGGCTTCTGTGTCTGCTTTGGTGCCTCTGTGAGCCTGTAGCATCCTTGTCTCTGACTCTGTGAGGGCTTGGAACTGTTTAGGAGCAGCTCTTGAGTCCTCACTGCTCACTGCCACCATCCTCGTACCTTATCCATGTCATGTGGCAAGATGCAGGGGGCAGACCTTGGCCAAAGGGGCACAAGAAGCAGAGTGGGCCCCTGGGACAGAAAGCTGTGGAGAACTGCTCATTAAAGGCTCAGTTTCATACAAATCCAGCTGCTTTGCCACATCCTTCTGCAGTTCTTCATCAATTTATGTGGAGCAGTACTCCAAAGCTAGCAGGGGTCATGTAACTTCTTGTTATCAGGAGAGACAGATGTAAGAACTCTTCAACATTAATTAGCTTTTTCACTGGTCCAGTGGCCTCATGGGATTGATGGTTATACCTGAAATAAGTTGTGATCATTTATGCCAGAAGTTCTTCACCCTCATAACTTTTATTTCAGCAGCCAGAATTTATATTTCTTTCACAGGCAGAATAATTTCTGTTTGACTATACCATGCATTCTTTATTCTTTGTTCCTCGTGCCTTTAGGCATTTTGTCCCTTCTATGCCCACCATAGGCTGCTTCTAGGACTTTAATTACCACTAATACATGTGCTGCCTTCTGCTAATAACTACCCTAATCTCAGTGGTTTATTTCAAGTCTCAAAAATCATAAATCTGTGATCTTTCTTTCTGTGCATCTCGAGCTGAATGCGTGATGATTGATCCCCAAATTGGGATTCAGGACACAGAGTCCTGACCTTCAGCTTGCAAAGACTCTCTCTGCTTTCAACATTTGCTCTTCATTACACCTTTTAAAACACCAGTACCAAGTTTTGTTTGGTTTTGACGTGGCGTTGCTGAACCTGTCTGCTTCCCAAGTTTCAAAGGAATTTTTGCAGAATTGCTCAAGGCAGCAAAAATGAAGAACAACCAGGCACAAGTAAAGAAGGGACTCCTGCTGCTTGACAAGACTTGCATGTCTCAACGCTTTGAATTTAGGCCTCCTCTGAGGAAAATGGCAATAAAAGCCTCGTTTGCTGTGTGTGCTGTTTACATACAGCAGTCAAGCTCCATAACAAGGAAATCCAGCTTCTCCTCCAAGGCAGCGTGTGAACTGGGTGTGATCCCAAGGCAGAAACCTCAGTGACCCTTCATCAGAGGAGTATGTGTCCGGATCAGCAGGATGCAAACATCGTTTCATTGAAGAGTGCTAACAGTAAACCAGGAAGGGATATGGGTGCAGAAAGAGCCTGGCTTGATGCAAGGCCTGTTGGGCCAGTGGTGCCCAGCTCAAGCCATTGGAGGAGCAGACACACGGAGCAGTTGCTGGTGCTCTGAGGTGTTGAGGTTGTCCCCAGCTCCTGTCCAAGCTGTGGGCTCGTTTTGGTGATGGCAGCACAGGGCTTGGACATGGCTGTATGCCCAGCCTGGATTGCAGAGCCCCTAGCAAAGACTTGGGCCATGCTCTGGCCCCGAGCTGGGGCAAAAGGAGCAGACCCCTGCTTCTCAGGAGGACCCAGCTCCCTGCTGTGTTTTTAAAAGTCATTTTTGTGGTACCAGCTACTCAGCAGGATGTCTTTCCAAGCACTGGTAAATATTATTGCAGTGGCTTGAATTTCTATAGTGAATATGTTATCAGTGCCTGTTGTTGGTGGGTTTGCTGTTTGAGTGGCTTAAAAAACATTGCTCTTAAATGCCGGTGCTCCGCTGATTATTTTTCAGTCTTCCTGTGTCCTACGAATTCCTCTGCCCTTGTAGGCAAAACAGCCCTGCTCCCCTCTGCTGAAACCTGTTTTTATAGTCAGCAGGGCAGCTGTGTTGTTTTAGCTGGTTTCTGCAGAGGCAAGGTCTGGAGAGGACACGGTGCAAAGCCCAGGCGGGTGCCAGCCCAGCAGCCAGGGCTGCAAGTGGGGCTCAGTCACCCACTGCTGCTGCTCCCTGGTGGGCTGGGGCTTTGGGGACTTGGGGGCTGCCCCAGGCTTGCAGCAGCTTTTCATATGTGTCCTGAGCTGCTCTGGATGTGTTTGGTAACCCTGCATACAAATAGCATCTTCCCCAAGTGCAGGAGACAGCCTCTGGGCAGAGGGGGTTGTCACAACAGGGAAGTTAAGGCAGATCTAGGGATGGAGGCAACAGGCAGAAGCTGAAATGCATTCAATCATCGTGTGATGTTCTAATTCAGATGCAGAAGTGCTTTAGGTCCATATCTTTCTTCTCTTGATTTCTACAAGAGCTTAGATAGGTAAGCAAGAGGTAATGTCTC